ACATCAATTGGGTAAAGCACATTTGTACTTTCATTGCCCTCATCATTCTCAAAACATTTCCTCTCTACTGAAGCCCCCGGCATCAACGCCTCATTTTTCCCATCCCTCCCCGCTCCCCCTCCCTCATGAGCCCTTGATAATTTATAAATTATTATTTTGTCATAGCTTGCCATGTCCAATGTCTCCCTTGGTGGTGAAAATTTTTAAATGTTTGACTAGTAGCAGAAAGATGTGTGGTTTGAATTTGCCCAAAGCTTCTTCTAGAGATAGGCTTTAGAAACCCAATGGTGCAGTTGTACTCTACATAACATGAAATTGCCCGAAGTTAGACTCTACAGCAACTAACAAGGAAGAAGCAGCAGACTTGGTTCAGGGAAAAAGGCATATAGGGGCCTACAGCTAGTCAGATTTTGCACTGCCATGTACTACTATAGTCGAGTACCTCTGAGCTATAGTTCCTTATACTAAAAAATGACATTCCTTTAGTCATTCAACAGATTACTGAGCATTTACTGTGTACTAATCTGATATACCATTTATTAAACATTTATTATGTGCTTCCAAACCAAAAGCAAGCTCACTACCAATGAGTTGATTCTGACTCATAGCAAACCAATGTAGAGTTCTCAAGGGGTGAATCTTTTCAGGAATAGATTGCCTCATCCTTCTTTCATGGAGTACCAACCTTGAGAATAGCAGTCTAACACTTCTCCAGGGCTCTCTCATTATGTGCTTCCAGGGGTTTATTATATATTATTTTATTTAATCCTCATTTAATATATATTCGTTATATATTAATAATAATTATTTTAATAATTAAATTATTGATTAAAACAAATTATTTAATTTAATAAATTGAGTTATTAATTAAAATTAGTTCATATTTATTATACATTATCTTATTTAATCCTTATTTAATCATAATAGTAAAAATAGTAATAATAGCAATCGTTAACTCTTATTGAGTATGTCTTATTTGTCAGGCACAGTGCTAAGAACAAAGTAACCATGGTTGCACAATGATTAAATTACTTGGATGCTAACCAAGAAATGGACAGTTGGAACCCTCAATTCTATGGGAGAACTATGTGGCAGTCTGCTTTCATAAGGAGCATGTATATGCCTGGTGAGGTGTAATCAAGCGCAATGTATCCGAGAGGTGGGATAGGAGGAAGGTGAAAGGAAATAGAGGAAAGAAATAGGAGGCAAAAGCTATTTATAGAGGTATAGCTATAGGTATGTATTACCTAATATATGTAAATATATTCATTTATAATGATAGGGATAGAAGCCAGTGTACATATATTTATATATTAAGTATTAAGATAGCAGATAGACTTTGGTCCTCTACTCAAGGTTTCCTGTAACATAAGAACACTTGTTCTGATAACCTAGCACTCTTTGATACTCACCTTCCTGGTGAGTACTTCACTTTTGTCTTCACTGAAGACAAAATGGGTGCATAAGCAAATGTGATGAAGAGAGCGGATGGCATCCCACTGTAAAAAAATATAGCGTTTGGAGTTTTAAAGGCTTGAGGTTAAACAAGCAGCCATCTAGCAGGGAAACAAATAAGCCCACATGGAAGAAGCACACCAGCCTGTGTGATTATGAAGTGTCTATAGGATCAGGTGTCAGAGATCAAAAGATCCAAAACAAACAACTATATTGATGCAAATGAGGAGGGTTAGAATGGAGACCCAAAGCCCCTCTGTAGACAATTGGATGTCC